CGCCAAGCAAGGCTGTCCGCCATTTTTTCCCTTTTCTGGCGGGTGCCTTACCTCCCTTGAGCTGGGCCAGCTGGTGGTCGGCCTGCTCCGTCTCTGCCGCTTGCCAGCTACGCCTCGGCCGGCGCAGGGGGCGGAACCACGCATGCACGACGCTCCCGGGCAGAGAAAGTCCTCGACTTACGACCGGTTTAGTCCTCGACTTACGACCGGTTGGGGGTCGCGGCATTAAAAAGGTTGAGAACCACTGTGTTAAATGGATCTGTTTTCCCTCACCGACTGTGCTTGTCAGAAACTGACTGGGGTGCGTGGTGTTGAAAACATTAACTAAAAGAAGTACGCTTGTTCCGTTGGCTCTTTTATTGGCAATGAAAATTTTATTCAAAAAAAATATATAGTAAAGCAGCAAAAAATACCGAGCGAATAAATAAATAAACAGAATTGTTTTGTCATCTCCATACAGCTGATGGCCTTCATCCAAAACATTAAAATACTGCAATAAACAGAATAAATGTGCATGAATTAATGCTTTTTTTAAAAAAAAAAAACACCAGCTGGAATACAAAAGTAATACTTTTGAGATATATATATATATAGATATGTATATATATATTTAATAAAATACAGCACAGAGCTATTCGATAATGGAAAATAAATCAGAATACAGGTTTGTTATGTACAATAACAATTAAGGCCTAATTCACATCATATAAAGCACATTAGGAATTTGGTCGACTCGGAGAGTCTGCAAAAGGAATTAAGAGAGGGCAATTCTCTGGAGGATTCCATCAAAGTACAATCTCTTGCCTGTGAGTAAATCTAATCAATCTTCTCATATATATATGGAAAAATATCAATATTGCTCAAAGACTAACCCATCTGACAGACATAACGCTGAGGTCTATCAACCCACATGAATTAGTTTGCACTTACAGGCTGTATTTGAAGCCTTCTGCTGATCTCACAAGACACCTAGACCCACACGTATGTCACTTGAAGGCTAGAAAACATGGATTGAGACTTCAGATGGTCTTCTTATCTACATCCCTTAAGGCAGGAGTGTCCAACCTTGTCAACTTATAAGGCTTGTGGGAATGGCTGGGGAATTCTGAGAGTTGAAGTCCACAAGCCTTAAAGTTGACAAGGTTGGACACCCCTGCCTTAGACTAATGAGAAACAGCTTCTACAAATATCATCCTAGACTTGCCAAAATTCTTCTCCTCTTTTTTTTTTTTTTTTTTAAAAAAATAGAATGAAAGATTTTCTTGGTATGTTTCCTTCAGTTCTATTCTCAGGAAAGATGACATGCAAAACGGAGAAGCAATAGGAAATGTAAGATCCTCTATTTCCCACTGGGGTCATCATACCTGCACAATTAATTTTGTTGCATATCTTTTGAAACGGATAGCTTATCGAATGTAATGTCGGGCTGCAGACTTCATAATATTTGAGCGGGAGGATTGGGGATTTGTAGAAAAATGATAAAAAGAGAGCAGGGAATGAGGTAGGATGATTTAGGCTGTACCTAAGGAGAAATTTCCTGGCTCCAGAACACGGTTTTCCATTACTGAAACCCCTTTTAATCACACCCCATCCAATCTGCGCTGTTCAGAACTCCATGTTGTAGTTTGGGACAATTCCGTTACCAGCTAAACTAAACTTACTCACTGAAGTTTTTGGAAAGAAAAGTTCAAATAGGGGCAGATGGCTTAATTCACAGCAAAGACAGGTCCTTATGGACTTGGTTTGGAGAAGCGTTGTAGGAGGCTAAACTTAAGTTTCAGTGCAACTCAACTTTTGTGATGAGTTCTTAGCTCACGGTTTGTACTTTGCACTGGATGAAAGAACTACTTGAATGAACGTGAAGTCGATAGCGGTGGCACTTCAAAATCCCTGCTCCAGAAGGAACACATACGATCGTTCTTGTGTGAAGCAAATCTTGGCTGAAGGACCCATTCGCACTGTGGAACCGCTGTCTTCATCTTAGCACTTTCCAGAAACGTGGACAGATGAAAGGCTGACCGCTGAGTTCTGGAAATTGAAGCTTACACATCTGGAGACTGTACACACTAAAGTTTGCACATCTGGAGGCGGCTGTATAGTGGTTCTTGGCCACATTGGGAGGATGTGCAGGCAGTTATATACCACTCAGGCATTGCATTAAGTACCCCTTAGAGATTGTACGCTGCTCAAGAAAATTCATTTGACAAACCAATTGTCCTTTGAACTTGTCCACCACCACCAACCGATAAACTTTTTTTCATGGTGTCAAATCCTGTTTTTATTACAATTCTAGGCAAGGAGAGATTAGGTTTCTCTTATGGAATCAGCAAAATCCAGAATGCAGCATTTCCAGGAAAGGAAAGGGAAGTATTTACGAAGAGTTTTATTCTATTGGGGGAATCAAACTTCTCTTTTGTTAAAATGAAACTTTTGTACGCACATACACACACTACTGGTTTTGGCTGGAGTTGGGCCCTGCACAAGATACGAGCGTGTATTTTTAATCCTTTGTCTGTTTTCTCTTTCTTGGGCGAATACGGACTATCTTAAAATTGGAGTCGCCTTTTTTTTCAGGTGAATGTGTTATCATCCCAAGAGCATTTTATCCATCACCCCTACTCTCAAAAAAAGTGAGTACAATTCATAAGGCCTGAATTCTGATTTTATAGTGTATCGTAATGAACATAAAAATTCCGAATAATTCTGAGACATTTTGATAATACTCAACAATGCAGAAACGTCCGGAAATACTCAAAATATAGTCTTGTGTTCTGCTTGACATAATACTTAAAATTGTCAGAAATCTAATTGCTAAAACAACTTACCACGAACTGTGACTTATGTGCTTATTCCTATTTTTTTTTCTGGGACATGCATTCTTCTTCTGTAAACCTATTCTATTATTTTGGGTAGTAATTGGGTGACAAGCTATGTTAGAAATAAATGTGCTTCTATTTAAATAAATGATCATTTCTTCAGAATCTTTTTGCATCATCACATTCTGGACTGAAATAACTTTGCAAACAGTTTATAGAAATATATACTGTATGCATATATATATATATATGTATATATATTCATTCTATAGGCAAGGCATTAGGGTGGAGCTGTCCAACTATTTCATATTTCATGGCCTGAGCATTTCTCATCAATTTTATGTACAGCCCAAACTAAGCTGGACTGATGGACCTGGTTTTGCAAAAAATAGGTTGTTAAGCAGCTAGCCAACTACCCCATAAATTGTAAGTGGCACAAATCCACACTATAATGGATGATTGTGCCTGTCCTGGCTATAATACAAGAACACTGTAGTGGTAAAAATAAAATAAAATAAAATAAACGGTGAAAAATTCCTTTGGCAAGACATTGGACAGGAGATATAGTATTTTGTTCTTTGATAGGCATATTCCTTATGGCAAAATATCTTAAATATAAACTTCATTATCATAAAATGCTATCTAACTAGGAGGTCTTGAAATGCTAAATCTATCTTTACAATATGGAGTTTCAGGCCCGGGGATCTTTATAAGTGGGAAAAATCCATTGGCTACTAAAAAAAAAAAAGGGGGGGGGGAGAATCCCACAATGGCCGTAACACAAGAAAACCCACCACAAAACAAACTTCAAAACTCATTTTCTTTTAAGCTTCAACACGTTTGGACGTTGTGACTCTTTGTGGTGATGGAACACCACATTGTTTCGATCGTCACACACATTCATTCATACCTGTGTAGACTCTTTCTCTCTCTTTCTTACGCACCTACACACGTACACAAACACAACTTTCACGCTGCAGGCATGGCATCATTATGGGCAAAACCCAAGTTATACCTGACCTAAAATGGAACTTTATCCAACTTTATCCAACTTCAACTCTCTTTCAGCTACCTTACAGGAGTGGACATTCCTAGCATGACCATTTATGAAACATACTAAAGCTTGCAACCTAGTAGTAACTGGGGAAAGCTATATGTTTTGCCTTTTCTTTAATATTTAGGATCCCTCACCCTGAGCTGCAGCTTCATCACCACATCCCCAACTACCAACAGGTTGGGGAAGGTCTACCAAGCTCTTATCAACACATAATGTAAAGCAGGGGTCTTCAAACCTGGCCCTTTTATGACTTGTGGACTTCAACTCCCAGAATTCCTCAGCCAGAGTACCTGGCTGAGGAATTCTGGGAGTTGAAGTCCACAAGTCATAAAAGGGCCAGGTTTGAAGACCCCTGGTGTAAAGTGATGCTACACAAGAGTAAAGAAGGACAGAGGGGAGAACCTAATTGAAAATGGCATCTTAGATAGCAACCGCCATGGATGGGGATAATGCAGTCCTGCTCTAAAGACCTGCAACTAGAAACGATGTGCCCGCATTCACACATGTTCTTCAATTAAAACGAAATAAATTAATCCCTAATCCAACTGCATAAGAGCAGAGGTAGGGAACGACGGCCCCTTTATGACCTGTGGACTTCAACTCCCAGAATTCCTGAGACAGCTATGAGGGACTTCAACTCCCAGAATTCCTAAGACAGCCATGCTGCCTCAGGAATTCTGGGCGTTGAAGTCCACAAGTCATAAAAGGGCTATCGTTCCCCACTCCTGGCATAGAGAGTGAGCATTTTTTTGGGAGGGGAGGGGGGACTCTGATCAGCCACGGATGCCTGCCAAGAAATATTTATCCAAATGCTTCAGAAACAGCAGTAATAATATTTAAAACGAAACAAAACAAAGAAAGCTATTTTGACATGGCTGTTCTGGAAACAACGGCCTCCACCGTTCTGTTTCTTTTTTCATCGTAATCAGCGCCCGGCGCGGGACTCCACGCTTGTTGCAAATCGGATTAAAAATCAGGCAATGAAATGCCCCTGTGTGGCAGTTTTAGAATGCCAGGTTTGGTCTTCCTTCTTTCTCCATACGTCACGGGGAGAAGAAACCCAACAGGAGGAAACGGGGTGTGTGGTCCTTGGTATCTTGAAAAGTCCTCTCCAGAACTTCAGGCTGTTATACGTAAATGCCCTCGGGGTTAAAACCAGAGGACAGCGGGTTCTGCAAGATCCGGAGGTTGCTGGGAAGCTGCCTTGAGGAACTCGGGCGTTTGAGGGAGCTGGTCTGAAAGACGGGTTCTGTGGGAGAAGAACTAGGTTACTATGACGTCTTTGAACATGGTTATCTTAACAGGTTCCGCCTAAACGTGGATTCCAAATCCCTAAGGGTGGAAGAACCGATGGAGGAACGAGTGTCTCCATCCATGTTGAGCTCCATCATTAATCTTATCCTCCACCTCTCAGTACAGGTGCTCCTCGACTTACGACAAGTTCATTTAGTGACCGAAGTTACTTACAACGGCACTGAAAAAAGTGACTTATGACCGTTTTTCACACTTACGTCTTGTTGCGGCCTCCCCACAGTCACGTGATCAAAATTCAGAGGCTCCACAACTGGTTCATATTTACGACAGTTGCAGCGTCCCGGGGTCACACGATTATTATCTTTTGTAACCTTCGGACAAGCAGTCAACGGGAAAACCAGATTCACTTAACAACCATGTTACTAACTTAACAACTGCAGAGAGTCACTTAACAACTGTGGCAGGAAAGGTCGTGAAATGGGACAAAACTCAACTTAACAAATGTCTCGTTTAGCCACAGGAAATTTGGGGCTCAATTGTGGTCGTAAGTTGAAGACTAGCTTGTGGTTATAAGTCAAGGACTACCTGTACCGTACCCTTATGAGATACTCAACAGAAGAAATAGTAATAGACTTATGTACTGCTTCACAGTACATTACAGCCCTCTCTAAGCGGTTTACAGAGTCAGCACATTGCCCCCAACAATCTGGGTCCTCATTTTATTGACCTCGGAAGGAGGGAAGGCTGAGTCCACCTTGACACGGTCAGGATCGAACTGCTGGCAGTGGGCAGAGTTAGCCTGGAATATTGCACTCTAACCACAGTGCCACCACAGTTCGGTAGGAAGAAAAAGAGAGAGGGAGGAAAGGAAAGGAAAAAGGAAAGGAAAGGAAATGCGAAAGGTAGGGTAGGTAGCAATAGCACTAGACTTGTATACTGCTTCATAGTCCTTTACAGCCCTCTCTAAGCGGTTTACAGAGTCAGCACGTTGCCCCCAACAATCTGGGTCCTTATTTTATCGACCTCAGAAGGATGGAAGGCTGATTCAACCTTGACCCAGTTAGGATCGAACTGCTGGCAGTGGGCAGAGTCAGCCGGCAATACTGCATTCTGACCCCTACGCCACCAGGAGAATAGAATAGAATAGAATAGAATAGAAATTGGAATGAATAGAATAGAAATAGAATAGAAATAGAATTAGAATAGCATTTAGACTTATATACCGCTTCACAATGCTTTTACAACCCTCTCTAAGCAGTTTAGAGTCAGCCTCTTGCCCCTCAACAATCAGGGTACTCATTTTATCGACCTCAGAAGGATGGAAGGCTGAGTCAACCTTGACCCAGTGAGGATCGAACTGCTGGCAGTGGGCAGAGTCAGCCAGCAATACTGCATTCTGACCCCTACGCCACAAGGAGAATAGAATAGAATAGAATAGAATAGAATAGAAATTGGAATGAATAGAAATAGAATTAGAATATCACTTAGACTTATATACCGCTTCACAATGCTTTTACAACCCTCTCTAAGCAGTTTACAGAGTCAGCCTGTTGCCCCCAACAATCTGGGTCCTCATTTTACCAACCTGGGAAGGATGGAAGGCTGAGTCAACCTTGTCTTGTCTCACCAGCTTTTCTCGCTACTCCTAATGCAAGGGTCTCCAACCTTGGCAACTTTAAACCCTCGCTGGCTGGGGAACCCTGGGAGTTGAAGTCCATAGGTCTTGAGGTTTCCAAGGTTGGACGCTCCTGACCTAATGTAGCTATCTTCTCCCTCTCCTTTACAAAGGAGGGGCCTTCTTGCTTGTGTGCAAATTACTTGAACCTGCCCACATCTATCCAAGCCTTTTTTTGCCCAACCCTCAAAAGACCAACGGGTGAACTTTCAACGGATCCCCCTTAAGACCTGTCTTAGGAATGGGGGGGGGCAGGAGAGTGTGCGATCATCTCAAAAGTACCTTTCTCAAGCTCTGGGTGTGAAGCCTCCAATTCAATGGGTTCAGCCGGAAGGACCGTGACTTTTGTCCCCGTCTGTTGGATGAACTGTTGGAGGTTGACTTGACGCAGTTCTTTTGTCAGCTGCTCCAGTTCTTGTTCTCTTTCCTAAGGAGGAGAAGAAAGTAAGACAGATTCAGCAACAGTGATGGAGTTGGAAGGGACCGTGGAGGTCATCTAGCCCAGCTCCCTTGCTCTGGCAGGAGACGATGGCTGCCCAGTCTTTTCTTAAAAGCCTCCAGTGATGGAGCACCCACAACTTCTGGAGACAAGCTGTTGCCTTGATGGATTGCCCTCCCTTTGTTAGGAAATTCCTCCTTAGTTCTACGTTGCTTCTCTCCAAGTTGGTTACTTTCCAACCGTTGTTTCTCGCCTTGCCTTTTGGTGCTTTGGAAAATAGTTTTTGACCCCCCCTTGTCTTTGTAGGAGCCCCTCCAATATTGGAAGACTGCTTTCATGCTTCCCCCCCCAGTCCTTCTTTTCATTAGACTAGACTGGACATACCCAATTCCTGTAACCGTTCTTCGTACGTTTTAGCCTCCAGCCCCCCTAATCATTTTTGCTGCTCTTCAGTGGACACAGATCTGCTGAATGGGAGGTCATCTAGTCCAGCCCCTCGCTCTTGCAGGAGACCTATGTTATTTCGGATCGATGGCTGTCCAGTCTTTTCCTAACAGCCTCCATTGTGGGGGCACCCACAATTTCTGAAGGCAATTTGTCCCACTGGTGAATCGTTCTCACTGTCAGGGATGATTCAACCGGACAGTTCTGAACGATGTTGCTGCCACTTAAGAGAAATGAGAATGGTGTTCCAAGATAATGCAGGGCCAATTTTCAATCCTCGCTCCACCCAAACCATCAAAGGAAGTTATTCTGTCCCAATCTTTGGCAGCTGAACAGTCTCTGTTGACTTGAAGCCTCCAGGTAGAAACTCTTTCAAGGATCAAACCAAGCAGAAACAGTCCCTGTTCACACCGGCTGAAGGAAATTCACTACTTATTATTTCCCAGCAGGGAGACTCAGTTGGCATCTCAAAGACAGAGCAAGGAGTCCTGAGAAACCTGGTTCTGGTAAAGGAATCCGGCTTGATTGATGTTCCCTGGAAAACCAACGGTTGTCTGCGACAACAGGCCACTCCCAAACCCCTACTATTTATTTCCCAGCCAGGGAGGGGCTGGCTAGCATCTAGGTCAGGGGTAGGCAACCTTGGCTCTTTTATGACTCGTGGACTTCAACTCCCAGAATTCCTGAGCCAGCATGGGGGAACTATGGTCCCCTTCACAACTCGTGGACTTCAACTCCCAGAATTCCTGAGCCAGCATGGGGGAACTATGGCCCCCTTCATGACTAGTGGACTTCAACTCCCAGAATTCCTGAGCCAGCATGGGGGAACTATGGCTGCCTTCATGGCTTGTGCACTTCAACTGGCTGGCTGGCTCAGGAATTCTGGGAGTTGAAGTCCACGAGTCATAAAAGAGCCAAGGTTGCCTACCCCCGATCTAGGTCTTCTTTTCCCCAAGATTCGGCTTATTGCCTTCCGTTGCTCTCCTCTCCTTGCATACACCCATCTGGGACGGCTCCATCTGTTCCTCCCCTCACTCAGATCAGGTCCCGAAGACAGCTGCCTCTCTGCCTGGGCACAAACAGACGGTCCTGGCTCTGCCTCTGATTGGGCTTCATCATCAGAGCCTTACAAAGGTTCTGAAGTTGACCCAGTCTCCTCCTCCTCCTCCTCCTCTGACTGCCGGCAGCCGACTGACCACAACACGTGGAGCCTTAGCACGACTTTTCTATTACGAGACAAGGATTATTGACCCAAAACCGATCCTTTTGGGTTTTGCGGATTAGATAGGCTTGTTGTTATAGAAAACATTAGTTATGTACGGTATTTTTACTAGGTATACTATCAGGGAAATACGATAAAGAAAGCGTGTATTTAATGTTGCACGTATTAACAGCAGCAAGAATTGTATTTGCTCCGTATGGGAAAAATAAGGAAACGCCATCCGAAGAAGAGACAATTAAGAAAAATATTGGACTTTGCAGAAATGGATAGACTTACACTGAAGAGTAAAGAAAAGGAAGACACAGAATATTTCCAAGCATGGGATGTATTTTACCAATGGCTGGAAAAACGGGGTAGAGATGAGGAACTCAATATGTATTGTTTAGTGCAGTGTTTCTCAACCTTGACAATTTTAAGGCATGTGGACTTCAACTCCCAGAATTCCACAGCCAGCAATGCTGGCTGTGGAATTCTGGGAGTTGAAGTCCACATGCCTTAAAATTGTCAAGGTTGAGAAACACTGGTTTAGTAAGACAAATGGACTCAGACAACACGTTTACTAAGCACTTACGAATTGTAATCTTAGAAAGCTAATAAAATGTTATAAAAAAAAGTATGTAGGGTATTATATAAAAGTAAAAAGTCGAGGTATTTCTGCATTTCGTGTTTTGATCGACTCATAAAATATCTGAAGACGGAGAAAATGGACCCCCACCTGTAACCGCTTGGCCGCTTGACCCACAGACCTTTCCACCGCTTTGATGCCATTTTCCAGGCGGAGACTTTGCTGGCCGTGGAGGTCAAGCTCTCGTCTGACTTTGTCGATCTTCTCTCTGACTTCTTCTTCGTTGACTTTAGCCTCCTGGACTTCCCGTTGCAACTTCTCCGCTTCCAGGCCGCTTTCCATGTGGTGGATCTGGACCACGTAGTCCTTCAGCTTGCTTTCGCAGTCCAATATCCTCTGCCGGATCTCCTGCAGCTGCTCCTTCAGCTGCTTCTCGTTCTCCTGCTCAATCTGGAGCTCGTTCTCCCAAAATTCCTCCTCCTCGATCTCCACCTCGTTCCGCTTGATCTTCTGCTCCAGCTTGAGGATCTCGTCCTCCAGGCTGAAGCTGAACCTCTGCTCCCAGTATCTGATCTCGGCCTCGTTGGTGTCCAGCTGTTTCTCCACCGACTGCAACTTCTCCGTCTGGAGGTGCACCAGCTTTTTCAACTCATCCACCGTGGTCTTGCAGTGGAGGACCTTCTGCTTGAACTCGTGCTCTTTGCTCTTCCCAAAAATGTCCATCAACCCTTTGGCGCCGCCGGTGAAAGTCAAGGACTTGCGTTTGGGCTCTCTCCTTTTAATCGACTTGTCGTTCTGAGGCCTGAGCTTGGCCAAGGGAGGGAGGCTCTGCCGATACAAAGTCCTTTCCGGGATCCGAGCGACGCTGTCCGAAGTCGGCCGCTCGCTAAGCGACGGCCCGGTACGCCGCAAGACGAGTTGCACGTCGCTTGCGTACTGTCCCCATTTGTTCAGAGAAATGATCGGATTTTCGTGAGGCGCTAAATGTCTTTCTGTATCTCTCCATTTTTCTATCAAGGTATACCTTCCGGTACGGCCTAAAAAAAAGAAAGAAAGAAAGAAATAAGAGCACGGACACAGAGGTAGTCCTTGACTTATAACAGTTCATTTAGTGACCGTTTGAAGTTACAACGGCGCCGAATAAAGTGCCTTATGACCGCTTTTCACACATACGGCCATTGCAGCATCCCCGTGGTCACGTGATCAAAATTCAGATGCTTGGCAACCGACTCACATTTATGACCGTTGCAGTGTCCCTGGGTCATGTGATCGCCTTTTGTGACCTAGTCAAAGGGGAAGCCAGATTCATTTAACAACCGTGTTACTAACTTAATAACCACAGTGATTCACTTAACAACGGTTGTAAACGAAAGGTTGTAAAATGGGGCAAAATTCACTTAACAAATGTCTCCCTTAGCAACATAAGTTTTGGGCTCAATTGTGATCGTAAGTCGAAGACTACCTGTAATTGCAATGACAGGAATGAGCCAGCAGAGGGCAGAGGTGCACCACAAAAGCTCCAGACACAAATTTAAAAAGTTAAGCTAATCAAACTATTTACTGCACTGGTAAAGTAGTTTATGATAACTTAATGGAATCTACATTAGCCCCACCAGTTTGCAAGCTAGCAAGCCACGTCGTCAAAAGTATTACAAAAAGCCATTTCATAATATTAACAAATTACTTAATGCACTGTAAAAGTAGTTTATGATAATTTAACCCAAATTTACACGAGCACCACCACTTTGCAAGCGAACAAGCCGCGTCTACAAAAGTTATCGAAGTGGCATGTATAAAAGTCACTTCCTAACACGAAGAAACTGCTGCATCGGTACAGTAGTTTTTGATAATTAAACTACATCAAAAAATTTTTAGGTTGAACTGAATTAAACATTTAAATCAAAAACCCACATAAGAAGGGGGAAGAAGTAAAGCAGAATCGGACCTGCAAGGTTTTTTTTTACTAGTCTATGTTAATAAAGGTAGTTTTTAGTCTTTGTCGAGGTTTATTTCTTGATCTGGACTGACCAAGTGTTAGCAATTCTTTTTTTTATATAAGTTTTTTATTTATAATACAGTTAAAACAAAAATGGACATAACGTGACATTCCAGAATAACTATTCCTAACAATTTGTTACATATAATTAATACATCATTCTTAATCTCTAAATAAACTTATTCTTCTATACAATACAATTATATATATACAGGTCCCCAACTGTTTGGGCACCAGGGACCGGTTCCATGGAGAAAGGTTTTTCCACGGACCGGAGGGTGCGTGGTTTTGTGTACTGCCCGCATCCCGCAGATGGGGCTTTGCTTGTTTGTGCGGCCAGGTTGCTGGCATGTCGTGGCCCGGTACCGGTCCACAGATGGGGGGGTTGGGGACCCCTGGTCTAGAAGACTGTCAGCAGCATTAAAACTACCCAGGTGCTTACAAATGGCATCTTTATGGGTGCAGGGACTGGAAACTCAATACAAGCCAGTTGAGAGAGAGGGAACTATCAGTACTACTGCTTTGGAAACCCCAGAATGCAACTGTGTTCTGAACCAGCCAAGGTGAGACAACCTCAATGTTCCCTCTACTACCGGCGTTCCTCGACTTACGACCACAACAGAGCCCCAAATGTATGTTGCTAAGTGAGACATTTGTTCAGTAAGTTCTGCCCCATTTCACAGCCTTTCTTGCCACGCTTGTTAAGTGAATCCCCTCTGGTTGTTAAATTAGTCACACCGTTGTTAAGCGAATCTGGCTTTCCCCATAGACTTTGCTTCTCCGGAAGGTCACAAAACGGAATCACGTGACCCCCAGGACGTTGCAACTGTCGTAAATATGAGTCGGTCGCCATGATCTCGTGACCATGGGATTGCTGCAAGGGTCGTAAATGTGAAAAACGGTCCTAAGTCACTTTTTTCAGTGCTGTTGTAACTTCGCAGGTCACTAAACAAACTGTTGTAAGTCGACGACTAACTATATCTAGCTGTCAATGTTCCAGGCAAGAGCTCTCCTGGCTACTAAATCTTCCAAATAGAGTTGAGAAACTTTAGATTTCTCTTAAAATCTCCTGCAATTAAGAAGAATTATCTCCCGCCTAGTCTAGCGAGACCTCGTTGATCAGAACAGATTAGACTTGAGATGTCCAGGACACATGAAACCAAACCTTCAGATCTTCCAAGTCTTGCACGTTCTAAAATGTTTATCATGAAAATGTAGGGAAGGACTTTAGTTCCAAGAATACTGAATAAAACATTTTGAATTCAGAACTCGATAAGCTCATGAGCGACTGTGTTGAATCCAAAATAGCTGTTCCAACACTAGAGAGCTATGATCCCGTTCTGAGCTCAATGCCACTCTGTACTGACTTAGAAGCAGGGCTTTTCAAGATCAAAACGGTTCAAATTCAAAATATTTTATATATCCCATTGAGCTCAGGGACTGATCTAAGAGCCGTTGTCCAATTCAAAAGGGAAATCAAATTGGAGGCGGGATAACATGTTCTGTCTCTTGGGACATCTCCATAAGGGCTGGGAAGCATACAGTGATGTCCGTCAACCACATTTGATCTATAACGGTTACTCTCCTCTGCGTAAACAATTATCCTTATTGTACTTGAGTCGTGATCTGAAACCTCGCTAACTTTAGAAGAGAATATTGGCAGCTCAGGGTTGAACTGTGGGGGTCCTTGGTGCTCTTTGAGCTTGGTGGTCTTCTTACAGACGTTTCATGACCCAACTAGGGGACATCATCAGTGCTAGAAGGGAGAGGAGTTTGCTTAGAGATTTGAACCTATGGGGGTCCTTGGGGCTCTCCGAGCTTGGTGGTTTTCTTGCAGACGTTTCATGACCCAACTAGGAAACATCATCAGTGTTAGAAGGGAGAGGAGTTAGCAGGGAAGAGGAGGAGGAGGAGGAAGAAGAAAAAAAGAAGAGGAAGAGAAAAAAGAAGAGGAGGAGGAAGGAGGAGGTGGTGGTCCTTGGTACTCTGAGGATGGTGGTTTTCTTGCAGACGTTTCATGACCCAACTAGGTAACATCATCAGTTTGGACAGGGGTAGGCAACCTTGGCTCTTTTATGATTGGTGGACTTCAACTCCCAGAATTCCTGAGTCAGCCATGCTGAGAGGAAAGGGAGAGGTTTCCAAGCTGAGCCATGCTGGCTCAGGAATTCTGGGAGTTGAAGTCCACGAGTCATAGAAGAGTCAAGGTTGCCTACTCCTGAGTTAGGATGATGTGGAGTACAGTGTACACTGATCATATTACCAGTTTGGTCAGGACAGATCCAATGATCCCACAGAATTAATGATAACCCCTTCCCACTCACCTCCTCCGTAAATATCAGGACCGCATATACTCACCTATAGCCTGGGCAAGGGCTATAACCACTTCCTGACAAGTTGTAACTTCTGTGACTCCACAAACAATCCTTTGGACTCCGTCGACCCACACCTTCAGCTCCATGGTCTGCAGATCACCTGTCGGCCATGCATATAGTCCTCAAGGTATCAGGTCATGTTTACAGCTATGTCTGGTAGTGCCAACATGCTGGGCAATTATTATCTGGAAAAGACGGAGGCAGGTGAGGTTAAAGGGCTATAATTTAAATTATGTCCAAGAAACTAATTGCAGGATTTTTAAGGCCCAAAGAGTTTTCTCCCACATACAATTTTGTGCTTTTAAAAATTGTGAGCCCAACATTTCGGTTGCTAAGTGAAACATTGGCTGGGTTTTGCCCCACTTTATGACCTTTCTTGTGACAGCTGTTAAGTGAATCGCTACAGATGTTTAAGTTAGCAACACGGGTTGTTAAGTGAATTTGGCTTCCCCATGTGACTTTGCTTGCAGGAAAGTTGCAAAAGGGCATCACGGGACCCCGGGAGACACTGTGACCGTCATAAATACGAGTCAGTTGCCAAGCGTCTGAATTTTGATCACGTGACCACGGGGAGGCTGCAACGGTCGCAAGTGTGAAAAATGGTCGGTTTTTTCAGTGCTGTTGTAACTTTGAACGGTCGCTAAATGGACTGTTGTAAGTTGAGGACTATCTGTATTTTAAAAGACCACACATTCCACCAGAGCACACTGGATCCATTACTAGCTTTTTTTTTTTTTAAAGAAATGGGTTGAGCTGACATTCCTCTTACTCCAATTCGAGAAACCAACATCGCGTTAAAATTAGGATATATGTTGTAACGTGTTCCTCATTAAAAGCAGCCCTTCCTGTAGCTTTAGATACTTTTTTTTCCCCTATTTCAGTTCAGATTGTAGACAAAGATTGTTATTACAAAGAAAATTGCTAGAAATTAGCTCTCTTGGCATAGGATTTTATTATTGCGGTGGTGGTTATAATAGAACCGTCATTAGCACTTGGATAAAGCTTTAACTATAGTGCAGATAAGTAAAAACAGCAACAGAGCTTTCTAGGTGTTGTAAGACTTGATGTAACGTATTAGCAGTGTATTTAGAAAGGCGAAGTCCTGATGTAACATATTACTGTGTTTTCACGAAAATAAGACCGGGTCTTATATTAAATTTTTCGCTCCAAATGACGCCTTAGGGCTTATTTTCTGGTTAGGGCTTATATTCAGGGAAATACGGTACTAAATGTGTCCTTCTGGCTGACAATCTTAACTGGGGCTTATTTTGGGTGTGGGGCTTATATTATAAGCATCCTGAAAAATAGTTGGGTCTTATTTTCGGGGAAACACGGTAGAAACATACAAGCAGTCCTCGACTTACGACCACCACAGAGCCCCAAATTTCTGTGGCTAAGCAAGACAGTTACGTGAATTTTGCCCCATTTTATGACCTTTCTTGCGACGGTTGTTAAGTGAATCACTGCAGTTGTTAAGCTAGCAACACGGCTATTGAGTGAACCGGGCTTCCCCACTGACTTTGCTTGTCAGGTTGCAAAAGGGGGTCACGTGACCTCGGGACACTGCGACCGTCATAAATATGAGTCAGTTGCCAAGTACAGTATCTGAATTTTGAACACGTGACTATGGGGATGCTGCCACAGGCGTAAATGTGAAAAACGGCCATAAATCACTTTTTTCAGTGCCGCTGTAACTTCAAACGGTCACTAAACGAACAGTTGCTAAGTCAAGGACTGCCTATATTTAGAAAGGTGACAATTGTAAGTTAATTCAACTGACCTTACAAATACTAGGAGTCATTTTAATGATGTTAACAAGCATTCAAGGCAAAATACAATGGAGAAGCATAGCTGCCGGTGTCTCGCATGCCACTGTAAAACCCAGAGAGTGATAATGCAGAAAACTGATGGTGCCATTCGGTTATCACGAGCTCAAGAAAGCACCCTGCTCGTTGTACAGATTTATATTTTTACCCTTTTTTCTTCCAAGTAGTGAGGACAGCAGCAACAGGAACACCAAGTCCTCAAGAGACTTTGATCAGCCAACAACACACGGAAATGTCAAAAGTTTGGCACCTGAGGATTTTTATTCAGAGCTTTTCCAGACTAGAAACATTCAAAATACAGGCCTTAAAATTTCAACTGCAGGGACTTAAAGATTCAAAACAGGGTTTACAAGCAGTGACCATCATCAGCAGTGGTGGTAGAAGACGTAAGTAAATACCACTGCCTCTCAGTCCCCAAGAGTCAAGAATGACACATGTAGTTACTTCTCATTCGTGTCTTTATTGTTGTTCACCTATAGACAGAATCTTGCCAGACTAAAGCAATGATCTGTATTACTATAGATATAAGCTAGGAACTGCTATGGAGGAGTCATCCTAACCCAGTGAACGGCAATCAACTTCAATGCTTTATTTGCTTAAACAATAGACAGAATCTTGACAAATTAAAGCTATAACTTCGTAGGCTACTACATATAGCCTGAGATATTCTAGGACGGTGGACCCCAACCTTTTGGGTGCCAGGGACCAATTCCGTGGAGAGAGGTTTGTCCGTGGATCGGAAGGGGTGTAGTTTCGCTGCTGCCTCCATCTCAGTTTCTGGCATGCCGTGGACCACTGCCGGTCCATGGTCGGGGGGTTGGGGACCCCTGTTCTAGGGTATGACACTCTTCCTTCGTTTCTCCATCCAGCTTGGGACTGCATAGATTCTTAATCCGGGTCTCTTTCTGGGAAAGCTCCGAGTTGGCAAAATCTTCCTCCTCTGGTGCACAATCCATTACACTTAAGCGTGATTTAGAATTGTCCGCAACTGCCAGTAGCACTGAAAAAAATCGACTTATGACCGTGTTTCACACTTACGACCCTTGCAGCAATCCTCACGGTCACCTGATCAAAATTCAGACGCTTGGCAACTGTCTCCTATTTATGATGGTCACAGTGTCCCGGCGTCACGTGATCGATCCCCTTTTGCGACTTCCTGACATGCAAAAGTCAGTGGGGGAAGCCTGATTCACTTAACAACCGTGTTACTAAACTAAGAATCGCAGTAATTCATTTAACAACGGTGGCAAGGAAGGTTGTAAATTGTGGCAAAACTCAACCAATGTTTTGCTTAGCCACAGAAATTTTGGGGTCAACTGTGATCGTAAGTCGAGGAATAGCTGTACAGAGAGGCTGGTATCCTGGCCCAATCCACCCCCTAAGATAGGGGTAGGCAACCTTGGCTCTTTTATGACTCGTGGACTTCAACTCCCAGAATTCCTGAGTCAGCATGGGGGAAACTTTGACTCCTTCATGACTCGTGGACTTCAACTCCCAGAATTCCTGAGCCAGCATGGCTCAGCTTGGAAACTTCTCCCTTTCCCCTCAAAATGGCTGGCTCAGGAATTCTGGGAGTTGAAGTCCACGAGTCATAAAAGAGCCAAGGCTGCCTACCCCTGCCCCAAGACCTTTCAGTTAAATCTAAAATAGCTCTTTGGGTACCAGCCACAAACTAGCTTTTTTAGAAATACATTTTAGCAACAGGAATTCAATTTCTGGATGGCAACCACTCATCCCCTAATAAGTATCTGTCTGCATATGTCATAGGATGGTGCTTGATTTAAAAGATAATAAAGTCTGACAATGGGGTGACTCATGTCAGATGTTTCTACTGGTGATGAAAATGGCAGGCTGCGTTATTTTCTGGTAGTTTGAATACTCTTTATTCCTTTTGCAAAGGGCTCTTGGAAAGAGGACAAGCGGATCTATTTATTCTTTCATTCAAACGATTGTGGGAACACATTTCTTAATCAAAAGAAAAAAAAACCCAGATCATAATCTATTATGTAATTCATTTATTAATCCATACAGTGTATATGCCACTTACTCTCTAAATTTCAGAAAGGTTAAATTCCAGCTTGCAAGCAATAAAACCATAAGAATGCATCAAAACATCTCCATATCCTCTCTAATCATTGTTGCGTATACACACACACACACACACACACACAAAACTGCAACGGCGAAGAAAATTGAAAGAACAAACAGGCATTGAAATTTCATCATGGACTTACTCTTGTGGCATACATTGCTTTACAATTTTGTCTACTGCCACCTGGTCCTGCACAAAAAAGCAATTTTTATATATGTTCCTGCTTTAGTGGCCTATTTTGCTTCCTAGTGAGCAGGGGGGGAAAAACAACACCCATGCATTTCTGTTACTCAATTCATTTACAGGGAGTGTCCGACTTATGACTGCAACTGAGCTCCAAAATTTCTGTTGCTAAGTGTGACATTTGTTAAGTGAGTTTTGCCCCATCTTTTTGTTAAGGGGAATCACTGCAGTTAGTGACATGATTGTTGAATTGAATCTGGCTTCCCCGTTGACTTTGCTTGTAGGAAGGTCTCAAAAACTGATCACATGACCCTGGGACACTGCAACCGTCCTAAGTACATGCCAGTTGCCAAGCCTCTGAATTCTGATCATGTGACCAGGGGGATGCTGCAATGGCTGCAAGTGTGAAAAACGATCGTAAGTCCCTTTTTTCAGTGCCATTATAACTTTGAACAGTCACTAAATCACTGTTGTACGTCAAGAGCTATTCTGTATTAAATAAATATCATTTTAAACTGTAGGAAAATGAGAATGTTGGTGACATAAAGCAGATTCAGCACTAGACTCCCGTGGGAGATTTACCCCATCATTGAAAACCGTTATCCGCAGCCCTGATTCACACATACTGCGTCTTTCTGTGCAAAATATAACACTGTTATATTATATGCACTAACCCAGGGGGTAGGCAACCTTGGCTCTTTTATGACTCGTGGACTTCAACTCCCAGAATTCCTGAGCCAGCCATGCTGGGGGAAAAGGGAGAGGTTTCCAAGCTGAGCCATGCTGGCTCAGGAATTCTGGGAGTTGAAGTCCACGAGTCATAAAAGAGCCAAGGTTGCCTACCCCTGGCCTAGGCTTACGACCAATCACTTAGAGACTGAATTTATAATAGTAACCAGTGACTTAGGCTCGTTTTTCACACTTACGACCGTTGCAGCCTCCCCTTGGTCACGTGATCAAAATTCAGATGCTTGGAAACTGACTCAGTTATGACAGTCGCAGTGTCCCGGAGAGTCACGTGACCCCCCTTTTACGACCTTCTGACAAGCAAAATCAATGAGGAAGCCAGATTCACTTAACAACCGTGTGTGACTAATTTAACAACTGGAGGGATTCATTTAACAACTGTTGCAGGAAAGGTCGTAAAGTGGGGCAAAACTCACCTGAGCCAATGTTTCACTTAGCAACGTAAAATTTGGGCTCAGTTGTGGTTTGTAAGTCGAGGACCACCTGTGCTATTATCAGCTCATCCGCCTCACTGATTTTTCGATGGATTCAAAAGTTGCACGGCTGGTGCCCTGATAACACGCTTACTTTTACAATCAAATGATTTCAAGAGAATGAGGGAAAAGATTAATGGAACAGGTGGTGGCCCCTTTAATTCTATTCCTTCACATGCCACTCTTAGGCTTAAAGTCTTAGCAGCACCAAGGATTTGAAGCCTTCCAGCTTAATCCAGGAAGAACAAGACATGGATGGGGTGTGTGTGTTAAAACAAGGCTTCACCTTTGCAGGGCAACTGCAAAAGAATAGAAATAGAATAGAAAAAATAGAAATAAAAATAGAAAAAATAGAAATAGAAATAAAATAGAACAGAACAGAATAGATATTGGAATATAGAATAGAATAGAGCAGCGATGGCGAACCTTTTAGAGACCGAGTGCCCAAACTGCAACCCAAAACCCACTTATGTATCGGCGGGTGCTGGGTGGGCGTGGCCCATTGGATGGGCGTGGCTGCGGTGGTAACGGCAGACTGGGTGGGACTAAAAAGTTCAATCAATCAATTCCAACTTTGCGAGATCTTTTTTTTCCCCGCGAGAAGTTGAAATTGATTGATTGATTGATTGAACCTTTTTTTTATTTTGCACACGGCGGCAGAGGCCTAAAGCGAAAAGGTTTTATAAAACCCAGCTGAAGCCCTAGGACTGGGGCGACGGTGCGTGTGCCCACAGAGAGGGCTCTGCGTGCCACCTGTGGCATGCGTGCCATAGGTTCGCCACCATGGGAATAGAGTAGAGTAGAATAGAGTAGAATAGAAATTAGAATATAGAATAGAATAGAAATTGAAATATAGAATAGAATAGAAATTGGAATATAGAATAGAATAGAATAACTTTATTGTCCCTTTGAATGTACACTAATCAGCATGCATTAAAATGAAATTTCATTGCATTCAGCTCTCAAAGGGTCACCACCTCCGATATACACTACAGAAACATGACAAAAATAATTACAGAATTATGCATATACCCACATATATTATATGACACAGAGAAACAACCCAGTCTAGTTCAGGTTATGTATATATATATGTGCATGGCGAGAAAAACGAATTTTGTGAGTTTACCACACGGATGGCAAAGAGAACAAAGCTATTACAGAATCGGGTAGTCCTGCTAGAAATACTTCTAAACCTCCTCCCAGAGGGGAGCAACAGAAACAGACCGTAAAGTGGGGGTGTGGGGTCTCTAACGATGCTTCGAGCTCTAAGCACATATGAGCGCTTATAAGCAGGATCCTGAATACCAGGGAAAGAGCTTCCTATGATCTTCTCGGTTGTCCTCACCACTCTCTGTATGGACTTTCTATCTGGGGCTCTGCCGCCACCAAACCAGACAGTGATACGGCTCGTTAAAATGCTCTCAATCGTGCCTCTGTAAAAAGTGGTCAGGACACAAGGAGAAAGATAATGATGTGCTGAATTCGGAAGAACTGTGGCACAAATGGATGTTCTGAGCATAACTGAATCCAGAATGAAGCCAACGCAGGTTGGACCATTCAATGGAAGTTTTGAGTTTCTAAATGTCTAGGGAGATTCTCAGTCATCCAGGTCACAGTTGTCCCAAAGGTGCTTTTACAAAAGGCAAATGGACTTTGTTGTTTTTTTCCCCCTTGAAGATGTTTTGCTTCTTATCCAAGAAGCTTCTTCAGTTCTGACCGAAAACTTCTAATTCAAAATAAAACGTCTTGGTACTTTACTGCTCCTATGCACAATTCACCACACAAGGGGGAGAAAACAACACATGACCCAAAGGATTTTGGTCATGATCCAAGTCTTGAAAAGTGGACTTCTCTCATTGCTGGAACTTACGGTATGTCTAAGGACTGGATAAATCCACCATTATTTGCAGCTCAGGGTTGAACTGTGAGGTCTTTGGTGCTCTCTGAGCTTGGCTGTTTTCCTGCAAACGTTTCCTTAGCCAACTACGGAATGTCATCAGTGCTACAAAGAAGTGGGGGTTGAGGAATGAAGGAGGAGAAAGAGAAGAAGGAGGAGGAGGAGGAAGAAGAAAGAAAAGGAGAAGGAGAAGAACCATGGGGTCCTTAGTACTCTCTGAGGTTCTTGGTTTTCTTGCAGACATTTCATGACCCAACCAGGTCACATAATCAGTAATAGAAAGGAGGGGAATTGCTCTCTGCTTATATAATTCTACTTCCTTCTAGCCCTGATGATATGACCTAGTTGGGTCATGAAACATCTGCAAGAAAACCACCAAGCTCAGAGCACCGACCTCCCACAGTCTTTCTTTCTTTCTTTCTTTCTTTCTTTCTTTCTTTCTTTCTTTCTTTCTTTCTTTCTTTCTTTCTTTCTTTCTCTTTCTCCTTTTCTCCTCCTCCTCCCTCCTAATCCCATTCCCTTCTAGCCCTGATGATGTGACCTAGTTGGGTGATGAAACGTCTGCAAGAAAACCACCAAGCTCAGAGAGCACCAAGGTCCTCACCCTGAAGTAAAACACACAGCAAAGGGGCACTGTGTAGAAATAAAGACGTTCACACCACCATGAGCGCATCTTCAGAGCAGCTTTTTTATTTCTGCGCCCTGTTGGATATTAAAAGTTTTCACCCCATGTCTGGATCAATGGCACCGCCTTCATTTACGCAACAATGGCATCCGGAGCTCGTAGGCCCTTGCTCGATTTCTTCCCCTTTCTGGAAGAGGTAGCAGGTGAATTCCTCGGACAGTTCTTCTCCTGACTCAGAACCTCTCCAAACAGAAACTGGAGTTCAGAATCGCCGCTGACCGCTTGTTGCAAGTGACCGGGAGTAATCCGACGCCGCTGGGCCCCTATCGCGATGTTTCCGGCAATGTCCACCAAATCGTACGTCAGGTACTGAAGCACCGCTGCCATGTAGACGGAGGATCCCGACCCTATGCGCTCGGCATAGGCTCCTTTCCGAAGGAATCGGTCGATCCGGCTGACTGGGAAGATCAACCCTGCCCGACAAGAACGGGAGGTTTTTGGCTTCCTTTGCCTTCTTCTACAGGATGCTTCTGGTTCGAGATCTTCAAAGCTCTCGGAATCACATTGATCGTCAGACATGTTCTACTCCTGCTTGGCACCCCACTCTGAAGTCTTCCCCCACTGCGTGGTTTGCGACGGTTTTGTGCTTATCTTTCTGCTCGGCGGTTCTTCTGTAGGTGGTCTTCCTTTGAGTTTGATTTTGCCCTTCTGCCCTCTTGTCTTCTTTTGATCTTCCCCGCCTTTGGATTTTCCTGGCCTTCCAGGTTAAGCTATCATTTGGAGGGCTAGCAGGAGGGGAAAAAATCCACGCATAATTTACCAGAGCCCTTTTATGACGTCATTAAGGACTAGCAACAAGGGTGCTGATAGGCCAGATCGCAGCAAATAGGATGCCTAGGGCATTGTTACCCAGGCTGAAGACAGACAGGCCCTGGATGAACAGAGGGGTGTTGAAATCTCCTCCTTTGTGCTTCCTTTGCCTCTCCAACCATTTCTGATTTTGGAGAGGTCGTGATTGGCAACACCAGCAAGGTGCAAAAAAAAAAAAGATTTGGACAGTAAAACAAGCCACCGTGAAGTGTCCACCATATCACATTTGTAGTCTGGTGCTTTGACACCCAGCAGCCAAAAAAACCCAATGCAATCCTAGGTTGCATTAACAGAGGGATAAACTCAAGGTCATGGGAAGTTCTAGCGCCGCTTTATAAAGCTTTAGGAAGACCACACCTGGAATACTACCTCCAGTTTTGGTCACCTTATTATAAAAAAAGAAGTGGCGACTCTGGAAAGCGTGCAGAAAAGAGCAAACAAGATGATCACGGGGCTGAAGGCTAAAACATTTGAAGAACGGTTGCAGGAATTGGGTGGTGAAAAGAAGGACGAGGAATGACACGATAGCAGTCTTCCAATATTTGAGGGGCCACCACAAAGAAGAGGGAGACAACATGTTCCCCAAAGCACCAGAAGGCAGGACAAGAAGCAATGGATGGAAACTGATCAAGCAGAGAAGCAACCTAGAGCTATGAAGAAATTTCCCGACAGTGAGAACAATTAACCAGTGGAATAGCTTTGCCTCCAGAAGTGGTGAATGCTCCAACACTGGAGGTTTTTAAGAAGAGACTGGACAGCCATTTGTCTGAAGTGGTATAGGGCAGGGGTGTCAAACTCAATTTCATTGAGGGCCGTTTCAGCATTGCGGTTGCTCTCAGGGGGCCGGGTGGGTGCGGCCTACTAGGTGGGCGTGGACAGCTCTACATCGTTTGCGTCAAGGGGGCCTGTGGGGGCCTGGGTAGGAGTGGGACAGATCTGAGGTCTCTAGCAGAAGGGGGGGATCGGGGTAAGCGCCAAGGCATGGTGCATTTCTTCATTCCTCACAAAGGGTGACACCTCCCCAGCATGCACCCAGGGGGCGGGGGCGACACGGCAGGGGCTGGTTCCGCGCTGTTTCCAGACGGCCTTGTGGAGCTAAGACTGAATGCGTTTCACCATAGATGGCCACCACAAAATTGTACATTGGCTTCCGGCCGGCCTGGGTCAGGGCCAAGGCAGCAGGGGCCGTTCCCTCACTGTTTCCAGGATGGCTTCACGGGCCACATAAAACCACTTTGTGGGCCGCATCCGGCCCCCGGGCCTTTTGTTTGACATGTCTAGTATAAGGTCTCCTGCTTGAGCAGGGGGTTGGACTAGAAGACCTCCAAGGTCCCTTCCAAATCTGTAATTCTGTTATTCTGTAACACTCACCTGCAAAGTGAGAGTCATAACTCAGAAGTATTCTAATCAAGCCCCTTGTCCAAGTCAGGACTCTTCAAACCACCCCAGCTGGTCTTTTTTTCTTACTAGACTTCTTTCACCATTGTTGTTAATATCTCCAGAAATGTAAACTGGCCAAGGAAATGGAAAACTACAAACAGAGCATTTTAGACATCCCGAAACATGTAAAAGTTTTTGCGGAATAATGGAAGTTTCAAAAGCAAACGAAAACACTGCAATACAAACACTCCATCTGCATTAAAGGGGGGGGGGGGAAACTTACATAGTTATATTTCGTGAGCCAGATTTACAAATGAGGGCGGATTGTTAAACAAGGTTATTTATCCACAGTGTGTCATAACTCTTATGTATACATATAAAATGCAAAAAAAAAAAAAAAGGGGGTTTAAGATTTTACGCAGGAACCTGATGGAAAACATTTGTTCTGCATTTGGGATGTTTCTGTTCCAAAAACGCTAATGAAAGCATCTGCTTTCCTTCAAAAATAAAGTAATTTAACTCTTCTTTTGCTGAAGCCAAACATTTATCTGCATTTTCTGCCAAAGTTATCCAAATCCAAATGCCGAAAGGGAAAGATAGTTAGTCTGAAAACGTGAAAGCAGGCTTCAACACATTGTCTTTCTTTATATAAAAACAGCTGGGTAATTATTGTTTAAATTCAGGTTTAATACAAATAGGGGGACTCTATAATCTTAACAGAATACAATAAATAAACAAACAGAGGTTTTGGAAGGGAAATGGAAGAAATAAGCGATTAATTAGGGCCTCTCTTTCTTCTCTGACCTTTTTTTTCCAGTTGCAACAGCAACATTTTGTGTTTTACCATCTACTAAAGTTGTCTGCCACACTTTCCCTTATGTCAGAAGAAGGCAAATGGGATTCCCCAGATGTTTCTGGACTACACCTCTCATTATCCCTAGCCATAGATTATGGGAATTGTAGCTGAGGTGACATCTAATACTAATCTCCTAAATTAAAACAATGTATGGATTCAATAAAGGAGAAATTTGTAGCTCGGGGGCTTGGTTGTTTTCTTGCAGACATTTCATTACCCAACTAGGTAACATCATCAGTGTTAGGAGTGGGGTTTGCTCTGTTTACTTTCTAGTCGTTACTAGAATTCCACCAGAATATGAGCAAATCCTTTCCCCTAATAGCACTGATGATGTTACCTAGTTTGGGTAATGAAGCGTCTGCAAGAAAAGAGCCAAGCTCAGAGAGCACCAAGGACCCCATAGTCTCCTCTGCTCCTCTTCTCTGCAAACCCCACTCCCTTCTAGCACTGATGATGTTACCTAGTTTGGGTAATGAAATGTCTCCAAGAAAAGAGCCAGGCTCAGAGAGCACCAAGGACCCCATAGTCTCCTCTGCTCCTCTTCTCTGCAAGCCCCACTCCCTTCTAGCACTGATGATGTTACCTAGTTTGGGTAGTGAAATATCTGCAAAGAAAACAACCAAACTCACAGAGCGCCAAGGACCCCCTCAATGTATGGATTCCATATTGCTCAGTTCCAGCATTTCAAACCACTGAACACGACTCCCAAATGGCTCAAGCTTTCCAGCCCAGGTTTATCCGCTTTGGCCTCAAGAAGCAGAGATGTAAATAAGCCTCTTTTCCAGGCTTGTGGCTTGGAGTCTCTCTTTGCAATGTGAGCCCTGCTTATGACTTTTGGAAAAGACACTGCATGGGGTATGGACCAAAAACTCATGCCCAGCTCTGCCCGTTAAGTCAAGAAATGGGTGTGACCACATTGAAACAAGGGACCAATGTAGATTTGACATCAAGCCTTAGGTTAATCTCTAAATTAGAATCCAATCCGTGTTTTCTCTTTCCAAACAAACCATCTTTTAAAAAAAGTTACTTTATATGCTTAAGTTCATTCTTTAGTGTCATTAATTCACTCCTGTATTCATGATGACGTGGCATTGTTTGAAGACTTAATAGCAGCAGGTAAAATTTTAATCAGTCGATGCCATGATTTAAAACAGAACAAGACAGAATAACCGAGTTGGAAGGGATCTTTGAGGTCTTCTAGTCCAATCCCCTGCTCAGGCAGGAAACCCTATACCAGTGGTTCTCAAACTTCCTAATGCCGCGACCTTTTAATACAGTTCCTCATGTTGTGGTGACCCCCAACCATAAAATTATTTTCATTGCTATGTCATAACTGTAATTTTGCTACTGTTATGAATCGTAATGTAATTATCTGATTTGCAGGATGTATTTTTCATTGTTATAAATTGAATATAATTAAAGCATTATATGTAATTATGTGTTTTCCCATGGTCTTAAGCGACCCCTGTGAAAGGGTCGTTCGACCCCCAAAGGGGTCGCGACCCACAGATTGAGAACCGCTGCCCTATACCATTTCAGACAAATGGCTGTCCAGTCTCTTTTAAAAACTTCCAGTGTTGGAGCATTCACAGCTTCTGGAGGCAGGTTGTTCCACTGATTAATTGTTCTGAATGTCAGGAAATTTCTCCTTAGTTCTAGGTTGCTTCTTTCTTTGATTAGTTTCCATCAGTTGCTTCTTGTCCTGCCTTCAGGTACTTTGGAGAATAGCTTGACTTCCTCTTCTTTGGGACAGCCCCTGAGATATTGGAAGACTGCTATCATGTCCCCCCTCGTCCTTCTCTTCATTAAACTAGACATACCCAATTCCACCAACCGTTCCTTATATGTTTTAGCCTCCAGTCCCCTGATCATCTCTGTTGCTCTTCTCTGTACTCTTTCTAGAGTCTCAACATTTTTTTTTTTACATCGTGGTGACCAAAACCGGATGCAGTATTCCAAGTGTGCAAATATGGACATTATACAGAAAGGTAAATTTCATTAACCGTGACCTATCGTCTAGCAAATGATCTCATATCATTACGAGAGATGATGCTGGGGAGAGGGTAAAACTATTTTGGTGAAAAGAGCTAAAATCTCCCTCAACAATGAAGGTACAGTACATCTGTTTTTCAATCGGCCAGCAAACCACACATTTTTTTTTCTGAGATGTGCAAGTATATGTAAAATTCTCCCCCTAGTATTTGTTCTTGAGCAAAACTATGTTAGCAATGTCTAACCCAATTAATGCACAACGATCAGTCACCTGCACAAAAATATGTTTTAACACACTAAAGCCAAAATTCTAATAGAGGTTCGAAACCAACCAGAAACTATGCTTGGACGTGGCAAAATGTGATCAATTGACTAAGCGGTCCAGCGAAGCAGAGAAGAAACTTCTTTAAAAAAGAATTAAAATCCAGCTAGGATACTTCATTAAATAAGATGGTGAAAGGTAAATAATTTTAAATAGAGA